TTTTTTTTTTTTTTTTTTTTTTTTGAGATGGAGTTTCGCTCTTGTTACCCAGGCTGGAGTGCAATGGCGCGATCTCGGCTCACCGCAACCTCCGTCTCCTGGGTTCAGGCAATTCTCCTGCCTCAGCCTCCTGAGTAGATGGGATTACAGGCACGCACCACCATGCCCAGCTAATTTTTTGTAGTTTCAGTAGAGACGGGGTTTCACCATGTTGACCAGGATGGTCTCGATCTCTTGACCTCGTGATCCACCCGCCTCGGCCTCCCAAAGTGCTGGGATTACAGGCTTGAGCCACCGCGCCCGGCTCACTTATTCCTTTTTCAGAGATAGAGTCTTGCTCTACTGCCCAGGCTGGAGTGCAGTAGCAGGCTCATAGCTCACTGCAGCCTGTAACTCACGGGTAACCTCCCAAGTAGCTGGGACTACATGAACATGCCACCATACCTGGATAATGTTTTTCTACATTTTTTGTAGAGACTGGATCTTACTATGTTTCCCAGGCTGGTCTTGAACTCCTAGCCTCAAGTCATCCTCCCACCTCAGCCTCCTAATTAGCTGGGACCACAGGCATGAGCCACCATGCCTAGCTCTATCCAGCCTTTAAAGAGGCAGTTTTTACTACAGATAGGGAAACTGTGGCCCAGAAAAAAAAGGACTTGTCTGAGTTCACCCAGCTGGACACCAGTGCTCTCCCTCTAAGCAGACAGCCCTTGTTTCATCTTGGCCCCCAGGGACCTCACCATCAGAGAATGTGTTCCATCTAGGTCATCAAATTTCAGTAAATCATCAAAGTCGAACAGCTGTGGTGGCTGGAGCTCCTCATCCTCATCTTCATCCTCTGTGGATGCAGAGCCCAGAGCTGATGAGGCCCCTCTCCCTGCCCCATAGCCCATAAGGTCTCCACCCTGGGACAGTGGGAACCAAAGGAAAGGGACTCAGGAGGGACAGCTGCAGAAAGGGAGGGAACCGCTCACCATCCTCAGTGGTGTCACTGTCACCCATCACTGAACTATCCGGGTCCTTCTGGAGTGGCAGCAGGGTGGAGCCTGAGCAATGGACCATCTTCTTCTCCACCCAGCCCCTCTGGCACAAGAGACACCGGATCACCGGGTAGCGGCCTTGGATGGTAAAGATCTTCTTCTGCTACAAGGTGAGAGATGAATACTTCTTCAATAAGTATTGCCTAAGTGCCAGGCATAGGGGATATAAAGGTGAACCAGATAGTTATGGACTCTGCCATCAGGAAATTTTTATATTCCATAGGAGAGACAGACTTGTTTATAAACAAGTAGAGAAATAAATATGCATGGTAATAATGATAATGGCAATGGCTAATACTTATTGAGGACCTACTATGTGCTGAGAGCTTACATGCATTACTAACAATACTATGCCTTTTTACTTTATTTTGTTTGAGACAGGGTCTCACTCCATTGCCCAGGCAGGAGTGTCGTGGCACGATCTTCACTGCACCCTCTGCTCCTAGGTTCAAGCAATTCTCCTGCCTAAGCCTCCCTGAGTACCTAGAATTACAGGTGCGTGCCACCATGCCCAGATAATTTTTTTTTTTTTTTTTGAGATGGAGTCTTGCTCTGTCTCCCAGGCTGGAGTGCAGTGGCACAATCTCGGCTCACTGCAGCCTCCACTTCCCAGGTTTGAGTGATTCTCCTGCCTCGTGAGTAGCTGGGAGTACAGGTGTGTGCCAGCACATCTGGCTGATTTTTGTATTTTTAGTAGAGATGGAGTTTCACCATATTGGCCATGCTGGTCTCAAACTCCTGACCTCAGGTGATCCACTCACCTTGGCCTCCCAAAGTGCTGGGATTAAAAGTGTCAGCTACCACACCTGGCGCCCAGATAATTTTTATATTTTTTGGTAGAGACTGGGTTTCACTGTGTTGGCACAGGCTAGTCTCGAATTCCTGGCCTCAAGTGATCCTCCTGCCTCAGCCTCCCAAAGTGCTGGGATTACAGGTGTGAGCCACCATGCCTGGCCAATAGGATGCATTTTTATTAGATGCTGTTATCCCCATTTTACTGGCTATGAAACAGAAGCGTAGATAAGTTGAGCAGCCTGCCTGAGGCCATACAGTGGTTAAGCAAAAGAGCAGAGATTTAAATCCTGGCAGTTTGGCTCTAGAAATTGCATACTTAATGGGGATCCAGAGAAACTACTTAGAAAAACATGGTCAGGGAAGGTTGAAAGGAAGCCATGAATGTACAGAGCTGGGAAATTGTGGTTTAGGCAGAGGGGAATGCATGTGCAAAGGTCTTGAGGCTGGAGAGAGGTCAGAAGGAACTGAAGGGAGACCAGAGTGAGTGGAGATGGAAAACGATGGGGAGAGCCCCAGAAGAGGTAGGCAGTGGCCAGACTGTGGAAGGCCCTGCAGGCCTTGGAACAGACTTGGATTTTATACAGTGTCGTGAGCAATAAAGGCTAACTAAGGAAATCTTTCTAAGCTTGGCTTGCTGTTGTATGGCAAAAAGATGACAGGACAGGGATGGCGACAGACCCACTAGGAGGCTGTCATGGTTTGCATAGGAGAGAAATCACAATTACTAAAATGAGGGTGGTTACAACACAGATGGGAGAAGGTGGTAGAGTTGCAAATGGTTTTGAAGTGGTTTTGCTGATGGGATTAGACCTGTGGGTGAAGAAACAGAAAGACGAGATTTCTGACATGAGCGACTGAGAGATGGGAAAGACCAGAGACTGGGAAGGATGACAGGTTTGGGCAGGAAAATCAGTCTGGTTTGGAACATGAATTTGAAATGCTTGTTTAGTTCTCTGGGTGTAGATGACAGGTAGGGGCCTGGATCTACAGGGTGTGGAGTTCGAAGCTGGGCTGGAAGGGGCACAGAGGTACAGCACACTGACTGGACTTAGAGCTAAGGACAGAGCCAAAGGAGACAGACCTGGGGAAGGGGCCAGGGGGCCACTAATGGCTGAGAAACCTTCAAAGAGTGCTGAAAAGCAGCAGCCAAAGAGGGAGAAAGGAAAACTAGGAGCGTGCAGTCAGACAGCCAAGGGGAAGTGTGTGGGCAGTGGTGCAGAAAGATACTGTGTGCCCAACCGAGATTAAGAGAGAAAGGCGCTGCTGGGTTTGGCTCCCGGAACTCACCAGGGCACCTTAATTAGAGTGGGACATCGCAGGGAACCAGAGTAGAGGGAGCCCAGGAGTTTGGTGCAGAAGGGGTAAATGGGGGGGTAGCTGAAGATGGGTGTGGGGGTTGAGGGTTTTGCTGTTGTTTTCTCTTTTGTTTTTGTTTTTTAAGGATGTAAGAAAACACCGCAGGGAGACCGGCTGAACCGTTCCCAGGGTCCTTTCTAAGCGCCCCGCCCCTCGTCCAACCTTGACAGCTCTCTCCACGTGGATTTTCGCATTTTGGAGCCGGTTCATGTGAGACGCCTTGGAGAATCGTCGCCAGAGGACCGGGGAACCTGCAGAAAGATGCGGAGTAGGGGCGGGGTAGGCTGGGGCTTGGTCCAGGGTCTCTGCCTAGGATCTTCTCTGGCCGCCGATAGAATCGGAGGAAGGCGCCGATTCTCTTCCTCCTGCCTTCATCCGGATGCCCACCCTCGGCCGCTTTTCTCCCGACCCCCTCCCTCCACCCCAGTGTCTTCTCGTCCTCGCAGCCGCCGTAGGCCAGGGCAAGCGGGTCGCACGGGGCCTCACCATCCTGCGGCGAGGGCTCATCCAGGACCAACTTGTGCGGGGAGCCGAGGGGGCGGGCATCCACGTCGCCCTGGGCTTGGGTGCCGAGGACCGGCGTCCTGAAGGCCCGGCCAAGGCGACGCGCAGGGGCGGGGCTGCCTGCCTCGCTTCTGCCTGCACGGCCCTCCTCGGGCTGGGCGGACGCGGGGCCGGGCCAAGGTGGCCTCCCTGGCAGACGGAAATCGGAGCGGCATGCGGAGGGTAAACTGATGCGTGGGTCGGGAGGCTGCGGCTTCCGCAGCCAGTGGCACACTGAGCCGCCCTCCTGGCAGTACCAGGAGGCCAAGCCCCGGCGCCCAGGCCCCAGTTCCCCCGCACTAAGGAGCAGTGGCGCGCCGGGGCCCTGCATGTGCCCCTCGCCGCGCGCGCCCTCCCAGCACCCCTGTTCCCGCCTCCCCTCCGCGTCGCCGCTTCTTCTCCCAGGAGGGCCCGCCCAGGCTCGAGCCCTGTCCTCCGTTCCAAGCCCCTCCCCGTTTGCTGTTACCTTGGAAACCATTCCCTGGGCACCATCAGACCACTCTGGGCTGGTTTGGGGGCTGCGGTGGGCCCTGAAGCAGTCAAGCGAGGGCTTCTTTAAGACCTGGAGCCTCACCCAGACCGTTGATGAGCTGGGCACTCAAAGCGGAAGAGAGCACTGAGTCCCACTTAAAGTTAGTGTCACGGTTCCTTATCCAATACTTCCTGGGTGCCACCGCCCTTAGGTGCCACAGTATTTATAGGCGCTGATGAATGGTCCCTGACCTCATGGAGCTTACATCCCAGTGCGAGGGGAATAAAAAGCAAGTAACAAGATAATAGTTACAGGTATAACAAGGGCAGTCAACAAGCAGAGGTGAAACCAGGAAGGTGGGGGTAGAGGATGTCCTCTCTAAAGAGGTGATATATTTAAGTTGAAGGTGTAAATGCGAGGAGTCACGAGTCACCAGGGAAAGGGGAGGAACAGCACTTCAGGCAGGGGACAGTCCCAGCAACAGCCCTGAGGAGGGTAAGAGCCTCTGTGCAAACAAGGCAGCCAGTGTGGCTGGAGCCTGGTGAGGCCAGATCAGACCTGCAGGGCCTGGCAGATGGACCTAGGGTAGTGTCCTTAGAGGGCAGCATATGGGGGTAATGAGAAAGTGCAGAGCATACCCTCCCCAGGAACTTGAAAATGGAAAAACATCATCTGTGTCAATTGTGAAAGAAATGTAATAGATCAGTCATGCCCCGCCCCAGGCTGAGTAAGCAACCTCTTTGGAAGCACTGGTAAAGAATTATCCTCAAAAGTTTAAGGCTCCAAGAGGTTAAACAATTTGCCTCAAACACCAGAGCAGAGGTGACATTGGAACCCAGGTCTGACTCCAAAGCCTGTCTCTTAGGCATCCCTCTATATAATCACTCAGAAGGTTGCCTGTTAAGTCACAGAAGGACCTCACAGTTTAAGAGGCAAACTCTAGCAGTGCTCATGCAGGCAGAGTTGGATAGGCTACCCTGGTCCAAGAGCCAAGCTTTGTTAGTCACTGGGTAGATGTGCTCTTAGAGTGAAGGTGGATCCCCCAACTCTCTGTCCAGCTGACCCTAACCCCCCTTTAGCTGATGGCTAGACTTCCTGAAAAGTATACTCCCCAGGAGAGGCAATTTAGGGAATTTGGACCCTGGGAGATAGATACGTGACAAATGAGGGTTTTGGCTGGCTCATGCAGGCAATGCTTTCCTGTGAGAGTTAAGTGACCCTATTAGTCACCCAGTTTCACTGTGAGCACCTTTAACATTCACTGCAAAGCTAGAACATACATGGCCATATGCCCTGGAGGGGAACACCTAATTCAGAAAGGTGGAGGGGTAGGTCACAAAGGTAATGTCATAAAGGGGATGATAGCACTTTGGAGGCTGAGGCAGGAGGATCACCCAAGGCAGGCCAGGAAATAAGACAGACCTTAAAAAAAAAAATTAGCTGGGCAGGGTGGTGGCACAGGCCTGTGGTACCGGCTACTCAGGAAGCTGTGGTCAGAGAATCACTGGAGCCTGGGGAAGCTGAGGATGCAGTGAGCCATGACTGTGCCACTGCATTCCAGCCTGGGTGACATTGTGAGACCCTATCTCAAAAATGAAAAAAGGGCCAGGCGCAGTGGCTCACGCCTGTAATCCCAGCACTTTGGGAGGCTGAGGCGGGTGGATCACTAGGTCAAGAGATCGAGACCATCCTGGTCAACATGGTGAAACCCATCTCTACTAAAAATACAAAACATTAGCTGGGCATGGTGGCGCGTGCCTGTAATCCCAGCTACTCAGGAGGCTGAGGCAGGAGAATTGCCTGAACCCAGGAGGCGGAGGTTGCAGTGAGCCAAGATCGCGCCATTGCACTCCAGGAAAAAAGAGTGAAACTCCTCCCAAACCTGGGTTCAGAAAATTCTCGAAGAAAAAGGGATGGAGACAATAGCTATTCAAGTTGCCCTCACCCCCTGCCTTTAACATCACCCCTTCAAGAGACCCCTTTGGCCATCTGGAGGAATCCCTTTTGAAAGCTCACCTCAGCTGGGTGCGGTGGCTCACTCCTGTAATCCCAGCACTTTGGGAGGCCGAGGTGGGCAGATCACAAGGTCAGGAGATCAAGACCATCCTGGCCAGCATGGTGAAACATCTCTACTAAAATAAATAAACTTAGCTGGGCGTGGTGGTGCCTGCCTATAATCCCAGCTTCTCGGGAGACTGAGGGAGAGGAATTGCTTGAACCCAGGAGGCGGAGGTTGCAGTGAGCTGAGATCGCACCACTACACTCCAGGCTGGCCAACAGAGTTAAGACTCCGTCTCAAAAAAAAGAAAAAAGCTCAGCTCAAAGGTTAACTCTTCTTGAAGCTTAACCTGACACTCTCTCCTATAAATATTTCCCCTTTGGCCCCCAGACTTCCAATATTAAATATGAAACACTTCAGTGCACCTTTAACACACCTAGCTCTTTTCCTGGACCTCCCAAGTCTGAAGGCAAGAATAACATCATGAACACTGGAAATTATTCAACAGCCCAGCCACTGGGCTGGTAGAACAAACAACTACAATTCAGTCAGTGCCTGTGTGGCAGGGACCACGTCAGACTGTTCATATTCATTATCTCCACTTTATAGACTAAGAAATTGAGACACAAAGTAGAAATAACTTGCCCAAATTTGGCAAGAAGAATCAGGACTCAAACACAAGGGGTTTGTTTTTTCACTTCAAGATGTTACTTGAAGGCTGCACTAGGTAGCACTAACCAACGAAACCTTCTGCAATGATGGGAATGTCTGTGTATGTGTTGGATATGCTGTTGTAAATGGTACGGTCACTGGTAGCTGCTAAGTTGCCAGTGGGACAGGGGAACTAGATTTTACACTTTACTTAATTGTAGTAATTAAAACTGAAATGGCCACTTGTGGATGGTGATTACTGTTTTAACACAGGCAAAAGTCTACTCATGCTCACTGGCTGAGATTTGAGGCAAGCTATTACATCTCATGTCTGGAACCTCAGTTTCCTTATCCACCAAATGGGAGCACTGTTTCTCTGTAGTTACTTTTTAGCCCAAGTAAAATCATTATGTAAAAAACACCAAAGCTCTGAATAGGCAGAGAGAACAGTTTCAAAAATGAATGGTGCCTGGACTGCAATGAAAGGGGTCTCTGGACATGGGCCCCTGGCAGGAATAATGACAGGACCAATCATGACACTGTACCTGATGGGGAGCTCCAGGCACAATTACCAGCCATCTGGTCGTAGGGAAAAGCAGCCCCACCTCCCCTTCCTTTCACACAAACACACAGAGCATAGACCTCATGCAGCCCCAAAGGGGCAAAAAGAGACTTTAATTAGGGGAGGGAGGATCCACCAGAATTAGAAAAGGGACAGCTAGCATGGGAGCAGAGGAGCCAGAGCAGGCAGGAGGAGGACCAGGCTGGGAAGCTCTGGAGGAGGACTCACCTCGCCACCTATGGCAGGCACTGCACTGACAGACAAGGCGAAACAGCGGCCCCTCTCAACTGGGAGGGTACCCAATGGCCCCTATAGCCAGAGGTTGCCTGGCTTTTGGGCCCCAGGTCGTAGGCATGACTGGTGGTCACCAATTTGGCCCTTGTCCCCAACCAGTGCTGGGTGGCCTTCTTCAGGCAGAATTCAGGAAACTGGCAGAGGGTTCCCGCCACTTACACTGGGCCCAAGGAGGCTTTGGAATAAAAGAGCAAGGGAGAGGAACTGGAATCTGAAACCTCCCTCCCTCCCCACATGGGATGGCATAGGAGAGGAAAAATAGTCGCCTTCTGGGCTCCAGGCCCGCCCAGACCCACAGCAACCAATAAGGGACAATCACTGGGACCAGTCACAGCCACAGGAGGTGGACGTTGTTTTTTTTTAAAAAAAAAAAAAAAAAAAGACAAAAAGGTTACAGTCTCCTCTAAGCACAGAGTTTAAGTCTCAAGACATTTAAAAAAATCTGTCCCGGCCCAGGGGACTGAACATCAGAAGCCAGCCTGACCAGGCACGTGTGGCCTTGGGGCAGGTCCACTGCTGCTTTCTTGCCCAGCTAGCAAGCACACCACCCACCTCCCATATCAAATGCCCACCCTAACCCAGCTCCCTGCTGCCGCCGCTGCTGTTCTAGGGAGTGACTCCAGGACGCCTTCACGGAGACATGGGGAGTCTGAGGGGGAAGGCCACAAGATCCAACCAGATGGTTTAAAACTGTCAAGAGAACCAAGAGGCAGAACATGGTGGTTATTATTGCATCCTGGTGGGCCTGCTTTAAGGAAATGCATGAACCTGAGAGCTGCCATTGTGCTCAGATCTGAGGGGCAGAGTTGAGTCCCGGGACACCTTGTGGTCTTGCTCTAATTCAGTCAGCTTTCAGAAGTGACCTATGGGCACTAGCCCTAAGCCTAGCACTAGATAAGGCAGCAAAAAAGTAACAGCCATGAGAGCTTCTCCACAGCTCCCCTGTGCCCTGGCATGGAAGCTGCTAGAAACCCTGCCAGCATCTTGCTTGGTGAACTAAGGTTTCTTTCTTTAGGCATGAGGGCTCACATGCAAGGGGCTTTGGGGACTCAAAGGGCCAAGTGCAGAAGGATCCAGGTTCTGGTACTTTTGGGTCAAGCTCTGGATGATCTGGCCCTTGAAATGTTTTCTGCCCTCAAAGGTCCCCCATGCTGCCTAAGACAGTCCTGGACATTTGAGAGACCAAAGGTTGTGAAACAATGCCCATGCCTGAAACTAGTCCAAAAATGAGTATTGTATGGCCCACGTGGCGTTTATATGAATTAGTTGCCAACCTTGAAAACATGGGAGACACCATATACAAATCCAAATCTAGGGGCTCAATGGGCTGGAGCTGTGTGGGAGCCAGCCCCTGCAGATGAGGCATGTGCTCAGCAGCTCCTCGCCCTGCCATCTCCATACTCCACAGTCAAACCACTCCACAGCCACCCGACCTTTGCATGCACCTGAATTTGTGACCCGACACAGGTTATGGTACTATCTTAGATCTCTGAGTCAGAAAACCCAGCTCCACGTTCTGGTTCTTCCTTTTACCGGCTGAGGGACCTTGGACAGGTGCTTTTACTTCCAGAGTCCCAGTTTACTCATCTCTAAAATGGTGATAATAGCTGACTCAAAAATTGTTTTGAGTAATAAATGGGACATGTGGACATGCTTTTTTAGGTGTCTAATTCTATGAGATGTAATTATCACAAATAAGTAAATGATTGTTGAATGAGTGAGCCAAATATTCAATTGGAACAAGAGCTACTTTCCCCTTCCAGTTCAATCTAGAGGACTCCTAGTACCCTGGACATAAAATTTTAGTACTGCAATACATGGAAAGCTTACTATGTACCAGGTGCTATATTTTACATATATGGTTTCATTTAATGCTCAACTACTCTGAAAGATACGTATTAACTACCAAATTCTCATTTCACAGCTAAGGAAACTGAGGCTTAGTTGAGAATTCAGTGACATGTCTGAGTAGGCGGTGGAACCTGGATTCACACACAGGTTGTCTGCCTCCACAGCTGACTGAGCTCAACAACCACGCTGATCTGTGCACACAGCACAGCTACTTTGTATGCTGGCCACCCTCAGTATAATTAAATCCCAGGGGATGCGGGTATAATTTCCATTTTTAGCAATCTGAGCTCCTTCTGGACTGGGTGTACACTCACTGGTGAGAGTACACACTAAGTCTACTGCCTAGAGATCACAGCCACTCTGGGTGGAACATGTCAACAAACCAAAGATTGTTTAGAAAAAGGAGAAAAAAAAAAGAAGGCATGTCTCGAATATCTAAACAACTAAGAATTATGTCATCATGTAAGTAATTCCACCTCTTCAGATGACTACAGTGCTTTCGATTGGAAAGGCATAAACAATGTAAGAGGAATCTGGAGGACTAGGCCATGCAAGTGACGGAAAACAGGTTGAAGGAATCATGACTTTAAACCTAAGAAACAGATGCTGAAGGAAAGTACTGAAGTCTATTTGAGAAGTGGAATTATACCATGACTAACTGTCCTATATTCCTGGAAAATTCACATGCAGACTTAACTTGCCTCACTTCGGGTTTGAACTAGATAGAGGTAAGGACTTTGTGAACATCCTGAGATGCAGAAATGAGTGTCCAAGTTCCTACGAGAGACTAAGAGACATCCTAGACACCCAAAAATATAGAAAATGCCTAAAGCGCTCAGAGATGAACCTGGGGTCCTCTAGCTCCAAAGCACCTGAGCAACCTGCTGTGTTCTAGGGGTTCTAGAGGCCTCCGGAGATATACAGCTAGTGCTCCACTTATGACCACGATTGGTTCCGACAGACTGGTCGTAACACGATTTGGTCGTTAAGTTGAGTAGGCTATATGCACGCGGAGATGGTAGTGCTGCTGGAAGCTGGTCCGCACTGTCGTACGCCCACCTGGGCAATGTTTGCGCTGCCAGACGCGGAGCAGTCGT